CAAGTGTGTCGCAACACATATACAGTCAACACCCGATGGCAAAGGGACATTATTAAACCCTGCTGACACGAACGCAGCCACTGCTCGACATTCTCCACTTGGATTATTGCATGGACTGATTGCAGTGTAAAAGTATACATGGCAAAGTGGGTAAACTTTGTCCCTCAATAGCAACAACGACAAGAATTTTTATGGCAAAACAAAAGGGCGTGATTCCCGGGAGGTTATTTATAAATGCGACCCCAAAAAGTGTAGAAAAGCTTCTAAAAAATATACATGTCAATAAAAAATTATACGCCGTACGCGACTTTGATGTCAAGAGACTTTTTTTCCCTTACCGCTAAAGATTGTTAATTCTCTACACAGTTACAGTCCCTGACTGACGAGGTTTTCGTCCTGACACTGACCAACTTTCGCAGTTTAAAAACATCTAACTGAACAAAAATCATCTTACACGACTTGACGATCATTTGAAAAAAAGATGAGATAAAAATCCACTGAGTATTTCTTCCATCATTATGTCACAAACAATGAGACGCATGGGACCCCGTCCTTTATTATCACAAGACAAAGTGGAGAGCAACAACAGCAAGGGGAGGTAAGCCTCCTCCGACAACAGGTGTCAGACGCCTAATTCTCCCCATGCCGTCATCAAGACAGATTGAGCTTGTCCATTTGTGCCGAAAGATCATCAGGAGACGACTCCTGGAGAGAACAGAACAAAAGAAAAAAAAAAGACTATTAGATTTCAGTCTGTCTTGATTAACACTAAAGGCAAAGATCGGGGTGTCCTACAACGGATTGCTCGACTCTTTAGGCCGGGGCGCAATGGAACGAGCGTCAGCACAGGGAGGGGGGGGAGGGGGGAGGATAATTAGACATGTGCTCCCTTTCCCTAAAGCCATACATCCCAAATTATCTTACTACCCAATTACAGGGATGCCACTGGACTTTTTAAAAAACAACTGAAAATGTTTACGAGAATAGATTTTGCACGTGCCGAAGCAACAAATGCAACAAAACAACATCGTATCAGTTCAACAGTGTACTTCTTCTGATTAAAACTATGGGTCCTCGTGCCGATGCACGTAAAATTGATTTTAAGAACAGACGATGCCCAAAATTACGGGGGAAAAACGGGATCCCTGCAATTATCTTCTAAAGATGCACATCATGGCGATTATCTTATCACCCACTTACCGCCCTCGAAAGATCTAACTCAGGATAATAATAATAAATAATAAATAGCATTTGTATGGCGCATATCCCCGCTCAAACAGCAGGCTCTATGCGCTTTACACTATATCATTACCCCAGCAGACCATAGAACTCTCCGAAACATTCTCAGCTTCCCGGGAAGCATACAGTGCAAGCAGCTGATTAAGCGCTCAAACACTAACAAACTGACAAGATCTTTCGCTGTCTATAGCCGGGTACCCATTCCCACCTGGGTGAAGTGAGGAAAATTCGTGTAAAGTGCCTTTCCCAAGGACACGTCGGGCCCCTGACGGGATTCGAACCCACGACCTTACGGTTGCGAGTCCGAGAGCCTAACCACTAGGCCACCGACGCCACTAGGATGCACTAGTTTTAATCATCCCAATGTGTTTCAACCACCCAAAGCTTCTTTGTTTGATCAGTCACATATCGCAACAATAACAGCCATTTGATGCATGGAAAAAGAAAGAAAAATGTTTTAAAACAACAGGAAAGAAAAAAAATAGAACCTATGAGGAGTACCCTCCAAGCACCTGCACCGCCAAAGTGAATTATGACACACGATAAAGACTGACACGACATCTTCCACAACCCCAGTATATAAATTTATGGATTTATTTTTTCAAATAATGAATGCCACCTCTCAATTATCACCAAAAATCTACATAATAAAATGAAGCAGGAACCCAGCAGTACCACAGTTTTACGATTTTCAAGTTACTAGATCAGGAAAGTACACCTGTATAATTATTGATTGTTGTTAAGCGTGTAGAGCGTACTGTTGGGCATGGATATGCGCTATATAAATGTAATTAATATTATTATCATTATTATTATTACTATTATCGTTGTTATTATTTCTATTAATATTAATATATGATTATTTCCTTCTTTTTTTTATTATCCACCTCATGAACACTGAGTAAATATGTAATACTACAAACAAGCTTTGAAACATGAAAAACACAGGTCGAAATCCTTTTTCTTTTTGCAAACGCTAGGAGCATTAAAAGAGAATTCGAGAGAAAGAGAGATGGAGAGAAAGGATCGCTATCGGAACTGTATGGTGCTCATGTCCTTTGAATTATTGTTACGAAATTGAGCTCTTTCTTAGTGGAAAAGAGTGAGCAACACATGAATCCAGAGGACACAACAATGAACAAGCTCAACTCAAGGGAGATGGGCCTATGCCCAGCTCTTTCTACGAACTATTCATAACCATAAGTAAGCTATACAAACAACAACAACAAAAAAGAAAAGAAAACAGGCTACAAACAAATCAAAGCTTAACACATTTGAGGAAAACAAAGCGGATGATTGACTTCCACTGAAGATGATACCCACATCAGATCATGGTAAAAATTGATCTGCTAAAATAACAAGTTCTCATTTATCCAACGAACGAACCAGTAAGACACGTTTTTCCAAAACTATAAAACTCTTTCACTTGAGCCTAACAGGGAAAACAGTTTCAGCAAGCCCCTTTAAAAGCAATGTTTTTCCTATTTTTTATAGCGAAGGTACACAAAAAAATAAAACAACACAAAAAAAAAGAACTAAAAGCTACAAACTATTCAGGACATAAAATTCCAATAATTTACAGCCCTCAAACATTTCTCTGCCAAACTAAATTGTATCTTCACTTCTAAGACAGAAAACGTCCAGGACAAAATAGGGACATTCTGAGTTCAGTTTTGGTAAACGTTGTGAGACACTTGCAACAGAAATAAGTCATCTAAGTAAGTTTAGTTTTAGTAAGTGTTTTACGGCACTCGCAACTGCATAGGGTCATATGAGCGCCAGAAGATTAGAGGTGTTACAAGAGAGTAACAAACGCAAAAAAGAAGGAGGGGAGATAGACGATAGATTTTTTATAGGAAAGAAGGAGCAAACCACACCAGAGCACCCGCCAACCACCCACTGTCTAAGTAAGTGCCCGAAGATTAGAGGTGTTACTAAAGAGCGTTACATACAAAGAAAAGGATGGTAGATGTTTGAGTGATAGGAAAGGAGGAGGAAACCACATCAGACCACCTGCCAACCACTCACTTCCACAAAAATAAGTCACAGAGCCTTTGAAAGCACCTGTCGAGAACATTCTCCAGCCACCCAAGCAAGACAAGAAATCCAGGCATACACAAAAAGGTTTCCAGAAACAAGATCATGATTATTATTTGTAGATTGGTCATTAGTGTTTTACATCCCTGTTGACCAGATTTATATCATTCAGGAGGAAGGCTTCTTTGACTCAACCTGACAGGAAAAACTAGGGAAAAGCATCCCAGCAAGAAGACGAAGATGCGCAATAAAACAGACGAAGATTGCGCAATAAAACAGACTTTCCTCACTAGCTCGTCGAACTAACGTGTGCAGCGGCAGAGTTTTTAAAAATTACAACCTGGCGCGAAAATGTACGCAGGAAAAAAGAGTACACGAATCTACAAACAGTTCTAAGAAAGCTTTTCTAGATGCAGGTTACTTCGTATCGCAAGTCACTTTATGTCAGAAGTAAAAGACCCATGCTTCTGATCTGTAACAAAGAAAGATACAGAAGGTCATTTTTACCATCATCTATCAAAATGCTTCCATCTTAACCATCTTGTTTAGTGTACTTACGACCTTAGAGCATGCATCAAAATAACATTGAGTGTGTATCTAGCTTACGATTATTATCGTTTATATTGCTGCTCATTTATATTATGTATGTGATTGTAAGCCTACTTGTGTGTGCATGTGCGTGCACGTGTGTGTGTGTTTGTGTGTGTGTGTGTGTGTGTGTGTGTGTGTGTGTGTGTGTGTGTATGTGTGTGTATGTGTGTGTGCGTGTGTGTGCCTGTACTCGTGGTGGAACACCAAACCAATGTGCCAGGATCTGGACAATAAAGATGTATCTTATCTTATCTTATCTTATCTTATGTAATGTAATGGTTGCCAGGAAAATTAACCATTAACGAACTCTCCTGTTCTGCCGTCAGCTGACAAAACACCTTTTTTTTTTCATTCCCAGCAGTTTCGAGACAAAGAGATTTTTCATCATCGTAATCATTTAAAAATAACTTTCTTCTAAAATTTGAATTTTAATTCATTCAAAAACTAGTCACAGTTTCACTTTTATTTTTCACATAAGTAGGACTGATCAGGCTCTCGATTTAGCACATAAAAGAATCTGGTGCCAGAATTTTTTAAAAAGGGCGTTTTGTCATCTTACGGCAATGTTGTAAACGCAAACTGACATCATGGTGCCACCTGCCCAAAAACCATTTCGTTGGCAAGCTGTTCAAATACCCTACGACCAAAAAGCAAAATTTTTCGGAAGAAATAAAAAACTGTTTCATTCTTTTAAGAATTGTACCTACTCTTGTCTTTTTAGTTTAAAGTGGAGGCTTTACGGCGCTCACAACTGCATAAGGTCATATGAGCCCCAGAAGATTAGAGGTGTTCAAGAGAGTAACAAACATAAAAAAGAAGAAGGGGAGACAAGGACGATAGATGTTTGTTAGGAAAGAAGGAGCAAACCACACCAGAGCACCCGCCAACCGCCCACCCTTGTCTGTCTTTTTGTCCATTTTTTTTCACCATTTACAATTTGAATTTTGACAATAATATTTCTTGAACAAATGCAACAAATGTAGATTTAGAAACTGCAAATTTTAAAGTTCAAAATGTTGGCTTTAGTCCGACTGAACATTTGGCTGACAAACATTGTTTTGTCACAACCAGCATCACAGAAAGATCTCTACGCTACAAACAGATCCACACACGCACAAGGGTGAGGGACTCACCGGTTTGTTGGGAGTTAGCGCCGATCCCTGCACCTGGAGCTTGGGGTCAGAGCTGATGTCCCCGTCTCTCTCCTCCTCGGGCTCCTGGGCAGGCGAGAAAACATCAAAATCAACTACCTGTTCCACTACCTTTTCTTACTCTACTTTATCTTTCCTCTTGTACCTCTGGGGCGTCGAGGGGAGAAAGAGCTTTCTGTCTCTGGCAAGCTGGATGGGCGGGATGTTGTGTGTTTTCAAGGTATCCTTCCCACCCTCGATTCAGGTCCTCCTTGGTCTTCCTCTTGCCCTGTACCCTGATATTCTTTTGTAATAAGCTTTACTGGCAAGCTGGTGAGGTGCCACTTGCTCATACACTAAAACCTGACCTGCCAACCATTCCATGACCAAAAAATAAGTTTTTCTCAGAATCTTTCTTAAAAATCACAGTTGGCGGGGGGAAAAAATGGAGTCTCCATAATACATGTACTAGTAGATTAAGATTATGTGACCAGTTAACCGTGGCAAATAAAAGGTGTATATCGCAAATATAATGCATATAAAATGTGTATTCTCGCATCATTTACCACAAATCATGCAATATTGTAAATACACATGTGCATTTTCACGTAATTTGCGGCAAGTTGCTTACGACCAATGGAAACAGAAATTTTTTTTTAAAGTCTGATTTCATGCAAATCCAGTCTGGGTTCTTCAGCTGGCAAAAGAAAATATGGGAGGCCTCAGATTTTATCTGTGCACTTGGCTGATCTGTAAGGGGATCTGTAAGGGGACTGACAACTCCCAAATAGTGTCATTGGGAAGCCATACACAGGTGTGTATAGAAATTGGTGGTTTGCACTCATGGAACAATATTGACAAAACTTTGACTGGTGATAAATATTTTATAACCCAATCAACATAAATTTACATCATTCTGGTCAATTGGCTGCTTTGACCCTGCCTGTTGAGACCAATCCAGAATGATATCCCAAATAGTACGGAACTCCCGAACATTTCAGTAAAAAGAACCACCAATAAATATATTGGCCTATGTCTTCTAGCTCATCAATATTTCAGTAAAATGGTCTGAACAGCAAATAATCCGCAACAAATTCAATTAAATGTACTTCTTCCTTACATATCAGAATTATTTCTTCCTAATTGTGAGGTGAGAATTTCTCAAAAGTACCTCCATACATCATGGAAAGGACCACATCAACACGCATGTCAGCTAAAGTCCTTACAATTCAGGAGAGCAGTGTAACAGAATAGATTTAACGTAACTGACCATAGGAAAACAAAACGATGGCCTACAGGAGAGCTATGCAAAGTAAAGTGAGCGTTGGCAAAGTAATAAACGAGTTTTAACTTTTTAAAGCAGATAGACAAAAGTGATCAACAAGCTATACAAAAAAGAAACATTCACGAACCTCATCTTCTCCATAGTCATCATCTCCATCATCTTCCTCTTCCTCTTCGTCGTCTTCATCTGATCCCTCATCATCACTGCAGAGAAAAAGCAAGACAAGAAATCTTATACAGTGATCACACAAACAAAACGGCAAGACAACAAATCATATACAGCCATCACACAAACAAATCAACAAGACAAGAAATCTTATACAGTGATCACACAAACAAAACAAAACAAAGGCTACAAATAACCCGAAAAAACTTTCAGAGAGGAATCTCACATCGACTTCTCTGTTTCCATTTTAAAAAAGTTTTAGTAGAGGTTTTACGGCACTCGCAACTGCATTAGGTCATATGAGCGCCAGAAGATTAGAGGTGTTACAATAGTCTCAGTAACAAACATAAAAAAGAAGAAGGGGAGATAAGGAAGATAGATGTCTGTTTCTATTCACCTGTGGTGGTTCAATACTGTACCAAACACAAAAAGGTCAATGTGAAGGAGGAGCACGACCACGAGGTAAGAGTAGAGAAAAGAGGAGAAAGAAAGCTCCCGTATAGCTAGACGACAACAAACTACAGGATTTGGTTATTTCTAATAACACCTCAGTATTTCAATAACACCTCAGTAAAAAATAAATCAAGTTTAAATCTGAAAACCTTGCGGCTGAAATTTCTGGCAGCTTGTCAAACAAACAACACCCGATACCAGAGTTCCCAAAATCTGTTTTAATCCGGTAGCAGAGCAAGCACAGTCCCGATCTCATTGTTTCAACTGCACTGATAGCTTCAACAAAATCACATAAAGTATTTTTTTTTTTTAATTAAAAAAATTAGACATTTTCAGTTCACAGAAATGGTTGGTTAGAGATTTACTGCACCTGCAACACTTATTTTTTCAGTTATAGTTTTGCACTCTTGCATTTATGTAAAACACCTACAGCTGCGTATATACAGAAGTAGACGCTACTATAAAAATAATCTTCAGTATTATTGCGAAATATGTCGCAAAAGCACAAAATAAAGGTATTACTAGAGGGTAACATACAAACAAAAGAAGGAGAGATAAGGACGATAGATGTTGGAAAGAAAGAGCAAGTCACACTAGAGCAACTGAATAAAGAGGTTGTATAAGCGCAAAAGATTAGAGGTGTTACTATAGAGTAACACACAAAGGAAAGAAGGAGGAGAGATAAGGACGAAAGATGTTTGATAGGAAAGAAGGAGCAAACCACGCTAGAGAACCCGCCAACCACCCACTCAATGGATCAAAGAGAAGAACACTGACCTGAGAGAGGCCAGAGCATCGTTCAAACCGAGAGCGTCCATGGTGACCCGCACCTCCTCACAGCCCTCCTCACCCAGACTGTTGGCTGAAACAAAGACAGGCAGCATACATGGAGGAACATTGACAGCAAACTACCAGACAACTTCTTGTTCCTTTTCACTTTTTTTTTTTTGGACTGACTTTTCTGTTACGTGATACTGTATTTTGTAGGCAAACTGTTCAGATGTATTAAGCACAAAAATTTTGAAAAACATTTTTACTGCAGTATCTTAATAAATCAGTGGTATTTGTTACATGTGCTTGAAAAATATTTCGCCAAAATAATTCAAATTCAAAATGAAGAAAGCAAGAAAAGATACATAGTGCAGGTACAACTGAACCTTTTCGCAACAAACCACAACATATCCTTTTTGCAGGTTTTGAGAAAACAAGATTTCTGTTCTTGACCAATATACTGAATAATCTTAAAAGCAGCTTTGGTTTCATTTAGAGTATACATAATGGAAGGCTTAATAGACATTCACCTATTGATAAAATCTCTGTTGGACTTTTATCCTTCAAATTGATGAGATCTTCAAAAATTTTTGACAAAACAAGTATCCATTTTAACACTATAAGGAAGGGAAAGAACTGCCCACAGACTTTCGTTGATCACAAGAGAAATCACGTGACTAAAGGAAAGAACTTGATTCACTTGTAGAGGATGTGTTGCGGCTTGTCAAAAAAAATGTATAATGTCTTTGTCACATTTTGAAAAAAGGATTACTTTCCGCAGTTCTTTAAAGAGCAAAAATTCCATTTTGTAGAGAAAAAAGTTAACTCTAGAATGTGTCTCACCTTTCTAGATAGCACGGTACTAGTTTGGGCCATACTTTGAAAATGGAATTTGTCGCATTTTCTCATAAAACTGTTCAATTAATTATTAACACTTTCCATCCACCTGGCTCAAAGGGAAAACCCCTTACATCCACGCCCCCCCCCCCCTAGAGCCAAGGACATGGTAAAATACAGTACATTACAAAAATCTCAACATCACTTGGAGAAAGAACAAGATTGGAACCAGATTGTCAAAACAGGTGTCAAAACCAAACGATACAATACCGAAATAGACAACAACACATGGGCACCATTTTGTTTAGTGCTCTGGCTCCAAAGCCTGACCTCAAACCCCACCATGCTCACCATTCAGGTCGACGTTTATCAAGGAGCTCTTCCCCTCTAGACTTTCCACAACATCAAGAGCACCAGGCTTTGTAATCTCATTGCCACTCAATATCAGCTCCTGAAATTTAAAAAAAATAAAAGTTACATTCAAAACTGTTCAAGACAGCTGAGTAAACAGAAAAGTATTTATCTTAGACGGATGGATGTCTTGGACAAATCGGATATAATATAACCAAAAAGAAAAACGTAAAGGGTGAAATGGGAAGTGACAGTTTGTACAGGTGGCCTTTAGAGCAAGTTTGACTGTAGGCTATTTTTAAAAAGTAAATGAAGAAAAAATAAACACTAACAATAGACTAAAAAAACTTAATTGAGAGAGAAATAAGGCATCCACAAAGAATGAGTAAGGGAGTGAAAAAGGAGGATGAGATAAAAGAACAAGATACAAAACACAGGCCATATTCCTTAAGGATACCCACCTTCTTTGTACACATGAAGCCTACTTCAGGGACATTAAGAAATACAAGAACAGCAAACAACTTTTTAATTCAAATCCCAGTTTCTGACCTTCCATCATTTTTTCAACAAAAGCATTAGTTGCTTTTATTTTCAGATTTTTTTCTCGTGAAAGTACATGAAACATTTTGGCAGTTCAGAAAAAAAATATCTTTAAAATTTTCCAATGACAGAAAACAACGATCATGCCCTCACACACACACGCATACACACACACCCCTAAAATGTGCCCATCAGGTTACCTTTAGTTTTTGGGTTTTTTTGGTAAGTGTTTTACGGCACTCGCAACTGCATAAGGTCATATGAGCGAGCGGGACACACCTAATATTTTCAGTTGGTAGGAAATTTTGAATTTTTCCCGGGTGGCGGCCGAAGCCTACTCTTATCGATTTTAGACCACCAAGGGATCTTTAACGTGCGCAACTGTCACACGGGCCCTCCGAGATTTTTCGCCCTTGTCCGAGACGGCTAGGTGCAGATCTTTTCTACCAGAAGATCAGGGTGTGGCAGAAAGACAGCAGTAAGGAGGAGCCAAGGAGTAGCAGTAAAAAGGCTGCAGAAAGAGTCAGGAGCCCAGAGGAGAGGGCAAAGGGGGTGAGGGGGTGGGGAAAGAAAGTGGAAACGAAAGCAGACAAAAGAACATTGCTAGAGAGCAGGAAAGGAGGTGAAAGGAGACAATTTTAGAGAAGAAAATTTTTCGGTCTCCACCCGGATTCGAACCCGGGACCTTTGAATGAGAGGTCAACACCTTAACCTCTAGGCAACAAGAGCCCCTACCTTTAGTTGCTTGTGTCCTTGATTCAGCACGTTGGCAATAGCCCTGGCTCCGTCAGTTCTCACCAGACAGTCTCCAAAATTGATGATCTCCAGCTGTGTAAGCTTTGGGAGGGCCTGGGGGACGACACAAAATGGCACATTATGACACAAAACAGCAAACAGTTTTAGTAAGAGTTTTACGGCACTCGCAACACAATAAGGTCACATAAGTGCCGAAGATTAGAGGTGTTACAAGACAGTAACAAACACAGAAAAGAAGTAGGAGAGATCAGAACGATAGTTGTTTAATAGGAAAGAAGGACCAAACCACGCCAAAGCACCCGCAAACCATGACACAAAACAGCAAACTATGACACAAACAGCAAACCATGACACAAAACAGCAAACTATGACACAAACAGCAAACCATGACACAAAACAGCAAACTATGACACAAACAGCAAACCATGACACAAAACAGCAAACTATGACATTCTAGCAGTTTTTTTAAAGTAAGAATTTTATGGCACTTGCAACACAAAAGGTTTTAATACATAAGTGTCAAAGATTAGAGGCATTACAAGAGAGAAACAAACAAAATAGAAAGAAGAGAGATAAGGAGGATAGATGTTTGAAAGGAAAGAAGAGGCAAACCACAACAGGGCACCCACTAACCACCCCCCTCTAACAGTCTAACAGAACTAAACTTCATTTCAGTTTGGTGAGAGTTTAAAAGCACTCGCAACTGATATGGTCATATGAGCCACAGATCTCATATATTTGTTATTATCACATTACTTCACAGCATTGCAGCTCGCTTGGTTTGTTTGTTGTTTGTTTTAGTAGAGGTTTTACGGCGCTTGCAACAGCATAAGGTCATATGAACGCCAGAAGATTAGAGGTGTTACAAGAGTGTAACAAACATAAAAAAGAAGAAGGGGAGATAAGGACGATAAATGTTTGATAGGAAAGAAGAAGCAAACCACACCAGAGCACCCGCCAACAACCCACACCAGTGAAAATAGAACATGACTACAGACATGAAAGCCTAATGCCGTTCTTCACATATTTTGAAAAATACCCAAAATATGACTTATTTCCTGATCCGTTTTCTGTTCACAATGCGATCACTCGTGCCCGGTCACAGAACTGAAAGACCAAATAAGAGAAGAACACCATCATCTGCCTTTCCCCTGTTTGATCTGAGAGTTAACTTCCTCAGACTTCAGAATCACCAACTTAAATGTAAATGACCCAATTTTCTACTAAAACACTACCGCTCACCTTTCGCGCAACTGTTATTTTAGCAGAGGTTTTACGGCGATCGCAACTGAATAAGGTCATACAAGCGCCAGAAGATTAGAGGTGTTAGAAGAGAGTAACAAACATAAAAAAGAAGGAGGGGAGATAAGAACGATAGATGTTTGGTAGCAAAGAAGGAGCACACCACACCAGAGCACCCGCCAACCACCCACTTGTTCAACTGTGAGCCATTCTCCAAAGTACTGAATAGACTGTTTATCCTGACCCATTTTTCTGTTGTGGGCGAGGAATAATTTACAATATTATTTCAAAATGCACACTTCACAAATAAAATGTATTTTTAAAGAAAATCTCTCACACACACTTACACAAACATTCGTCTCTGGAACCAGCAGCTTCCTTCCCATTTTTTAAAATGGTTTAATGGGGAAGGCTGGAGGTGGAAAAAGCTAAGTAACTAAGTTCAGTTTTCGTAACAGTTTTAATGAATTTGCAACACAAATACGACATTTCAGTGCCAAAGACAAGAAGAACTACTTGAGAGTAGTTACATACAACGAATGGAAGGAAGGGAGGTAAGGACAACAATAGCTGTTCTATAGAAAAAAAAAAGCAAAACCACACCAAACGCCTGCATGTGATCGATGGAAACTAAGTGACAAAGTAAATTACATTGGCATAAAAAAACTGAGACAAAACTAGAAATCAAACACAACATTTAGACAGTCTCGTAAGTCGTAGGAGGTTGCAAAAACGTCCAAAGGTACTCAGCTTCTGAATCCAAGGATGCCACTGGACTCTTATAAAAAAAAATAACTGAAAACTTTTTTGAAGACTAGATATAGCATGCGACGAAGCAATAAATGCAACAAAACAACATCACATCAGTTCAACATCTTAACATTTCAATCAGATCTAAACATCCGCTTGATCATGCGCAATTTGATTCAGCGAGAGTACATTCGTTGATTAAAACTAGGGATCTTTAATTGTGCCACTCCATCCTTACACACAACAAAACAGAAAAGCGGCTTCCCGCACAATCATTTTTGCGTGGTTAACGGAGAACTGATCCGACGAACGAAAAAAGGATTTAAGAATGGACGATGCCCAAAACATTGGGGAAAAAAAGGAAACAACGGAAAAATGGCATCCCTGGGAACCTCTGCAAATTGGCCGAAGTGTTTCTCCCAACATAATAAAGATTTACCTTGAAAGCAGCCGCCAAGGCCTTGGCTCCGTCGTTCTCCAGGCGGTTTCGGCCGGAGATGAAGACTTTCAAGGCCAGCGGCCGTCCAGCAGCCAGACTGCTCTTGTGGCACTCTGTGAGACACTCAGCCAGCATCTGTGGGGCACACACAGAGAGATGAAAAAAGACAAAATTATACCATTTTGCAAGGTGTAGAAGATACATTGTATACATACTTTACTTTACTTTTCCGATCCAGCGGCCATTTGGGTTCTAGCCCTTCGGTCTGTCGATATGGCAAAGAATTGACAGGTTTTAATCAGCTGTGCTTTGTTGCTGTATAGAGTGTTTCCGATGTCTGGGAAGGCAGGTAGGTAGGTGCTACGCAGGTCACAAAGTGCTGGGCAGTTAAAGAGGTGGTGTGGTACTGTTTCATCCTGGCAGTCGCACAACGGGCAGTCAGGTGGGGTATCCTTGCGGATCCTATTAAAGTAGGAATTTAGTGGTATGTGTTGTGTTCGCAGGCGAAATATTGTGACTTGTTCTCTTCTACTCAGGGAATTTATTGCGTCTTTAGAGTTGGGGACTGTCATGTGTGCAAATACAATTCTTCCAGTTTTGCCCATTGCCCATCCATTCAGCCACTGTTCCCTGGTGTTGCATTTGATATTGTATACATAAAATCTCTCTCTCTCACACACACACACACAGAGACACACACACAATCATTTCTTTTAGGAAATAGCTACAAACAGAAACCCACAAACACACACACACCCCACAATCATTTATTTTGGGAAGTAGCTACACACAGAAACCCCCTCTACACACACACACACACTCTCATACACACCCACCCACACACACAAATAATCATCTATTTTGGGAAGCAACTACTACCCTCCCTTTTCTCTTTTTAAAAATAAGCGACAAAGCAAAACGACATATGGATTTTTTAAAACTGAGACAAAACTTGGCATAGCTGTACTGTCACAGAGAGAGACAAAAGAATCTGCAGAGTTCAGCATTTGAACCTCAGGGAAGGGACTAAAGGCTAAAGTGGCGAGCCTGACCTTGCCTCCTCCGATACCGAGACCGTTGTTGTTGAGCTTGAGCTCCTGTAGGGAGTAGCAGCTGGGGCTCTTGAGCAGATCCACCAGACCCACCACACCGTTCGGGCCGAAGGCGTTGTCACTGAGGTCGATCTCCACCAGTTTGCAGTTGGCGCCCATGATGGACACTCCCAGGTGTTTCTGAAGGAAAAAAAAATGGATGAGAAAAATATGTAAGGCATCATGGTGAAATTGGGTGTTCGTCAAAATAATGAAATGAAAGAAAATGGCATTTTTTCTGGCAATTTTTATCGAATTTTTCTTTCTTAACTCAACGCTTATAGGAATAATTTTAAAACACATTTTTGTGTGGATGATACTGAAAAACAATTTAAGGTATAAAAAAAAAAATTTGCAGTTTCCAAGAATTCTCAAACTTTTGGATGTCACGAAACTTAGACAGCCATTTTCTCGCTTTTTTTAGCTCTGAAAACAGGCGCCCCCCACATTCCTTCAATCACATATTTCCTGAGAGAAGAATTTTTTTGCCAAAAGCAAGACAAATGAACAAGCTGTAAGATGATACTAATAACCCCAACATGCCCAAAAATTGACAAGCGCATGTTGTGAAACATACAAGAATATCACCTTGACCTAATATTAACTCCAAAACTGACAACTTTGTGCATTAAAAAAGCAATGACCTTACTGACGTCCAAGAAAGACTTGCTCGTGTTCCCACAAAAAGGCACAGTGTTATTTGCAAATGACATAAAATAATTCATTCAAATAGGAATATTCAACTGTTGGCTTTCACAGTTCAGTGCAGCCCCATGTTTTTTATGCAGAGCAAACACAACAAGCCCACAAAGGAACCCCAGTGACAAGCCATCTAAGATCATATTTTCTGTCTGTTGAATTTCATATCAACTATACCGTAGGATCCTGCAACTGTTGTCATTTAACTTTTCCAAAATAAAAAGAAAATGACAGCAAAAAAGAAACTGTTTGTCAATTGAATTATATCAGATATAAACATACCAGTGCATGAGGGATTTCTGTTTTCAACCTTCCAGTGAACATGTCACTCCATAGGGCTCTCTGAAATAAAGAAAACATCCTTACTTAACATGGGGCTTTCTCAATGATGTGTATAGAATAGCACTTCAGAGCAAGTACTCAAAATTACCTCACAGCTAGCCTCTTCACGTCATACTGTACATGTTAAGGAACATGTTAAGGAACAAGCCATAAAAAAGGGAAAGGAAAGAAAAAAATGCTACTAAAAAAAAGAAAGAGAATTATAAATCTCTTACATTACATGGATTTTAAAAAACAATACTAACATTACATAAACACAACTCAAAATTTTCAGTGTTATAAAATCCTCCGCTTAATCAAAGTTGCACTGTCAAATGAGACGCTATTGCTAGAGTTTCACATTACATAGAGAGCCTCTCCTTTTAAGTTAACCTACTATCGAACTTCTAGGTTACTACAACTTCAAAAACTGGTCTGCTGCCAAATCATCAAAATCAATGTCTTCACAACCCCATATTTATGAACACTTCTCAGGAAATGACGTTAAAAAATAGTGGTGACCTAAAATTAAAAGTGACAAAAAAATGTGAAACCTCAAATTCAGAATGTTTTCCTATGGCTCTGGCTATAGCCTCAGCTGCGTCCACTCCAACTGTGTTGCCCTCAAGTCGCAGAGCTGTCATGTGCTCACATTTCTCAATAGTATCCACAATGTCCTTGGCTGAAAGAGAGTGTTTCACCACAAATTATTAGTTCATGAGATGCACAGATGTTTTTACACAAACTATAATATTCTCGACCCACCACGTCTACAGGTGGCGGATGGTGGAACGGCCTACATTATGTAGGGTAGCTGCGAATAACCAATAAAAAACAAGTCGCGGACCAACTGGTGAGTCTTGGAGAGCGAGGTGGGACAGGGTGGTGGCAACCCTGTCTCTATAACATGCCTCATGTGCTCAGCAAAGGGACTGTCAGGCGAGCGGGAGGCGCCCGAACATGCCACCTGCCCCCACTGCCTTGTGGGTTAGTCCTTTTCAACAAAGCCTAGTGTGAAGGTCTATGATCGCCCACGCCAGTCGGAGAGGCACCGGATGATGATGATAATATTTAATTGTATATTAGCCCAATCCGCGGTAATATTTCACGTGTATTCTAACAACATGCAGATTTCGGGTGGCATGCCCCCTGACCTAAGGGGGGGCATGACCCCTCAGTATTTTACCATAATTTGGTGTTTTGCAAAACTAGGCTTGATATTTTCTTGGAAGACAATTTGCGAGAGTTTTAGTGGCCAGCCACGTGTGTGGTCTGCTGCAAAAAATAAGGCAGCTTAACCCCCAAAACAGTGCATCTGCGCACAGGACTGAAAGTAAAAATTTACAGAATGATTATACGAAATACACTAAAGTGTCTAAAGAAAGATCAATAAAACTCCCCAAAAAATTTTGTTTTAGTAAAAGAGCAATAATAAGGTGGCCAAAGGGGTGTTCCAAAAGTAAAATTTAAAGACATGAAGCTGCAGCAAGTACCGAGCACATCTCTGTGATAGGCCCAAATGTAGATCAATGACGTATAATCCACAATCTATTTTTGTCGTATTCCGGGGTTCCCCCCAAGACTGGGGTTTCCCTTGCCAATAACTGTTAACTAGATCTCGCTGTGTTTGTTTTTTTGTTGGGGTTTTTTTTTTTTTGGGGGGGGGGGTTATTAGGGCTTAATTTATGTTATAAATTGCTTTTTCAAAAACAATCTCAGCAATTCTCGCTCCATAAATTTATCTTTCCTCAAAGTTGCACACACACACACACACACACACACACAAGAGCGTGAGCACACACACACACACACACACATGCGTGCACACACAAACACAAACAAGCCTGCTCGCACACACAGTCCAAGCAGTCGGCAATGAAACCTAGTGTCCTAGTGACCTAGCCCATCACGCGCTAACGGCAAAGTGGGCCCCGCCACGATGAGATCCAGTTAACTGGTGAGGGACGCCCCAGAAGACGACAAAAATACATGGCGGAAAAATGTCATCAAGATCTATATTTGGGCTAATCACAGAGGTGTGCTAGGCAGGTGCCCGCTGCAGCTTCATTTAATTTAAAGATTTTAAAAGAGTAGGCTAACAAACTCTAAAAAGGAGGAGGGGTGATTAGGTGTTTGATAGGGTAGAAGGAGCAAACCACACCAGAGCACCCACCAACCATCCACACACAAACAATAAGCAAAAGATGGGAAACTGTACTTGTACAGAAACTTGGCTGGCCAACGGTTCCTTCTGCCCCCCTAATCTAGATCTAGATTTCTAGCAGTCTAAAAACAGACTTGGGAGGGGGGGGGCTAGAGGCCAATAACGTTGGACAAATTCCCAGCCAACCCGTCATCTCGATAGTTTCACTCAGTTAGACTAGATCTAGCATCTATCTAGTCTATCTAGATCTAGATCTAGAAGATCTAGACTCTTGCCTGGGCCTAAAGTTTAAAGAGTTGAGAAAAAAACGACTCACCATCTTCAGCTTTGTCCAATTTCAGACCCTTCCCCTTGAACGACAATTCAAATTTAGAATCCACCTTCGTCTGAGCGAGTTGATCAGCAACATCATCCACAGATAAAGACGCCATTGGAAATTCTTATTGTCTGTCTCTCTTTAGACGACGTAAATTATATTGTAAACGATATGAAAAAAAGTGTTTTAAGAGCAGGGCAACGCTCAATGCTCACCAGCCCTCGACTCGAAAATTCCGAAATTTGTAAAATTGGAAATCGTATGAGACCCAATGTAGTAGTATCGATATTACTTTGCTTATCACCAAGTCTCTTCCAATATATCGAGAAAGAACAATATTATGCATTCAGTTTATACACACAGTTATATTTTTTCTGCTTAGCTTACAATATCCGACATAGCACTAGATCTACCAGTTCTTAATTTGGGAAAGCTAGACAAATTTTAAAAAATAACTATAAAGTTTGGAAAAGAAGTGGAGGACTACCCCTGATATCCCCACAAAAACTTACTCCTAATATATCTGTGTGATAAAATAATAAACAAATTGTGTTTCTCTTCAGTGAAGACATCAACACAATGGTTATTTCTATGGTGAAAATTTTGGGAAAACGTGAACCGAGTATGTTAGATATATAAAAAGATTATCCTTTTTAAAATAAATAAATATACAAATGTACATTATTGAGGCTCATTTGATCGCAGAAGATGTCATGTTTATCAAAGGTCTGCTTGAACCCCTCAGTAAGACTGTGGGTGTGTTTATTGTTTCATTTCAAATTCCAGTATTAAGAAAAGAGAACAAATAGATTCTAGATCTCTATATAAAATTGCAAAGTTTTTTCTCGAACTCGAAAAAGTATCGAAAATGCTACTTTCTGAACGACAAGTGTCGATATTTGTGGCCTTGGTCATTCACAGATTCACATGTTCATTGGAAACAGTGATTCCAGATTATTCTGGCGAATCCTGATGCACATTGAATCAATTTTCATTCAGTTATCTGAGGACTGTGAACAGCTTGAATCTTTCATTTTTTTGGCCAAAAGATTAGATTGTATCACTTATTTTAATATATATATATACTGATTAATCTGTTTCTTAAACCATTTCCAATTTAAGAGTTACTCGAAATTAGTCTCAAACGTAACCGAATGAGGAGGATCAAATCTACAAACCGACAGAACAAAATACTGTGTAGGCCTACCTACACGTACTAGATCTATGTACCAGTACCTCGGCATTTAAGACCAAGAAGTCAATAAAGATGTTAGTCAAACCAAGCAAAATGTTCATCTATAGTTGTGCTTGTTTCTTGTGTTAAGATACTTTTCACATATCAACAGTTGGTTAATACTTCATTGACATGATACATTTTAGCAGACAATACTCCGTCTCTCAGAACATAATAATTATTCAAGTATGTTTAGTTGGCTCTTTGCTTTTTTAAGGAAATAAACTATTCTAAACTTCATGGTAAAAAAAAAAAAGACATAAAAAGAGAGATTGCGAGAAGAGGGTAAGGGGAGGCTGGTTTTTATTACATGTAGTCTTTTTGTTTTCTTGGTGTTTTTCTCTGAGAGCGATTACCGCCAAATCTGATCAACTATTGAACAAACGTCCAACAACCCTGGTCCCTGAGAGTACATAACTTCAACAAGTATTTTAGTTTACGGGTTGCGTCCCCTGAAAAAGCGCGGGTAACAAAGTTGGCTCACAACTTGCATAAAAAGAATAGCATAATATTATCTATCTATCTAATATTCAACGTATAACGTATAACCTAGGCTTAATTGACCTTGTGAATGGAACTCGACACAAAGATATAAACAACAAGCTTTTTTGCTTCAGCTCCCAATAGTCCCAATATCAGCTCCCCTCTGGATTTCGATGGAGATATTATTATTTGAAGAAGTTAGCAAAATAACTCGAGCAGCAAATAATATGTACCAATACAGGTAGTAAACAACAACAACAACAACAACAACAACAACAGCGATAAAAGCTGCAACAAAAAAGACAACGGCGATACCAAAAACAGCAGCAGCAGCACCAGCAACAACAACAACAATTAACAACAACAACTTAACAACAACAACAACAACAACAACAACAACAACAACAACAACAAAAACTAGTAGCGGCACTGCAGGCAATACAAAAACAACAAAGGTGCACATTCTCTCTCTCTCTCTCTCTCTCTCTCTCTCTCTCTCTCTCTCTCTCTCTCTCTCTCTCTCTCTTTACATGTATAATAGTCTTGGTATCAGGGGCGAAGGCTGACTTGTTTGACAGGGTAATGAAAGTGAGATGGGACCAGATAGTGCCTGGAGATATCACACACACCACACAAGTCACAGGAATCTTACTGAAGGCGGAAACTCTGTGAATGAAAACAAGTCCTGAATTCATGTTGTATGCATATTCAACCGCTAAGAACAATTGATTTGCAAGGGTTTTAGTGGCCTCACGTGTGTTCTGCAGCAAAAAGTATGGCGGTTTAGCCTTAATATCAGTGTATTAAAATTTGTGTGTGGGTGTAAAAGTAAAAATTTACCAACCGCTCAAATAATCGGGAAAGTATTTCATTAAATATTTTTTCTAACTAACCTTGAATTTAACTTTAGATTTGAATACACGAACACCAAGGAAAGAAGCAGAGATGTCAGTACTACAATGGCAGGTTATACCAGACAGTCTATGATAAACTCTTTGGTAGACCATGTCAATTATTAATTTTTATTTCACATTTGGCTGTTCTTGTCTATCTTTTCGCGGCCAGGAGCCGGAGTCATTAATCAAGGCCACGATCTGATTATAGGACGTTAAAAAGTCGAGGAAAAAAAAACTAGCACTCGCAGCAGTCAAGATATTATTAGAAGTTAGTTACCCTCTCATCTCTGAGGTAAATTCGACCAGTGTAATAGTTAGCTTACATAATCAGCGTGTATGGATGCTTATAACTGTGGTTCGAAAGGGGTGAACAGGGTATATGTGGCAATGAAACAGTTTTGACTGCAATGCACATGTTCCCTTCAACTCTATTGGTAGGCTCTTCCAGCCTCACTTTAAGCTTACTTAATCAAAGCTTGTGACTGCTTATGGAGTGGCCCGATAGGGACGAACAGGCTAATTCTGTGGCAATGAAACGGTTTTGAAGGTTAGGCATAGTCTATAGTTCATTGGTGATTATGAACGTCTTTTTACATTTAATTTATGAGGTTTACGTCTATGGGTGAATTTGACTGCGACAATGTGTCAAAATTAGGAAGGGAAGCAGTGGTTATTTGATTATATAGACGCTTCGCCACTGCTTGATATTACAGCTGCCTCCCCAAAATCTATAGGTTTCTGTTATAATGGTTTTAGTATCACAGACGCCGGTGGCCTACGGCGTATCCACCCGTAAAGATGTAATTTGAAGAGATCTCGAGAGTCATTGATGTTAAGATCGGTAAGACGAGTCTGATTTACCAACGGCGGTTAGCTGCGTCTGTAGGAAAGCGGCAAAAGCTAATAATAGTTTTTGACTCTGTCGTATGTGTGTGCGCGCGCGCGCGTGTGTGGTGTGTGTGCGCGTGTGTGTATGTATATGTGTTTGTTTGTGTGTGTATGTGTGTGTGTGTGTGTGTGTGTGTG